CTGGTTTTAAAAGGAGAATGGACACAGTTGATAATGAAGATAATGTAATGTTTTTACTCACGGGTTAAGGGCTTCAGGGTTGTGACGAACGGGTCATGCTCCCCTGTTCGTAAGTTGCACTCTGCAAGACCCGCGTTGTAGTTTGAAAGTGTCTCAAAGGGGTAAACACTACAACGTAAAATGGTGGCATACGCGGTGAGGATCAATTGCATGCAATTAGCAATGCTAAAGGACTTTTAAGGGATTAATGTGTCCATGCTTCTTGATTGGGTTTTGCTCGTTTAGTTTGTTTTATCATAATGGTGTTTTTATGCTTTCTGGGCTTTTGAAATTTAATTTTAAGCAGTGTTTTGTGTATTTTTACTTTGCATTTTTGAGTTTCTAGCTGATTTGTGTTTTTATTAAATGTTTCTACACTATTTAGTGTTGGAAAAGGGTTGCACTTTGTGAGAATTCAACATACGAAGTGTATAATGACCTGTGTGCCCAAGTGCTAATTCTTAGGTGTTTAAACCACCAGTGTCTGATTACGCAGTTTCAAATCGAGTGATTTGAATGCTCGGTTGCATAAAGTAATTGTAAATGTGATCAGTGATAGTGCTTGTGCTTAATGCAATTTCATGTTATGTGATCGTGTTTTCATAACCGCCAAGTACGTGTATACTATAGGCAGTCTGTCCATCATAACCAGTGATAAGTGCTCTGTTAAAGTTAGGTTGTGATTTAAAGTACGTGCATATTTGAATTTAACTTTGTGCTGACGGTAAGATGTAATCAGTGTTCATAATTAAATGTTAAATTAAATGTGCTTACCGTGCTTTATGTGCTTACCGTGCTTTGTGTGCTTACCGTGCTTTGTGCTTTATGTGCTTACCGTGCTTTGTGCTTTATGTGCTTTGCTTTGTGCTTCGTGCTTGTGCTTTGTGTGTTTAACGTGCTTGTGCTTCGTGCCTTCGTGCTTGTGCTTCGTGCTCTTCGTGCTTAAAAGTGCTTAACGTGCTTAAAACGTGCGTGAAGTACGTGCTTTTAGTGAAACGTGCTTTTAGTGGTGGTGTGCTTTTAGTGCTTCGTGTGTGCTCTCGTACTGTATACCGTGATTGTGAATCGCCTAGTGGTAATTAACAATCGTGCCTACAAGGACAGTTCGTGACTACGGTAACTAACATAGTGATACTGCAAGTGCGCAACATTTCAAGGTGGTGCTTGCTGAGGTGCCGGAGGTGATAAGCGATAAATAACACGCATATCTTTGCATTTTAGCCATTACTCGCCAATGGTAAGAGGAAGAGGTGATAAGAGGGAGTCACCGCAGGAGGAACAGCTGGAGCAGCAACAGCAGCAAGAAGAGCCTGTTGGTGCCACCGGATTGGAGCGGGCATCAATGCATCAGGAGATCACCATGTATGATGAATTGATGAGGAGGCTGGATCACGTGACTCTGAAGTTGCGGGAATATAAGACCAAGAACCAGGAACTCGAAGCTCGTCTGAGGGCGGCTGAAGATCGTGATCGTCCTGCAGCCTCGCCGCCACCGCCTGCTCCTCTCCCCATCTTTAACGTGGTTGTGGATAAGGAATCCATACCACCTTTTCGAGGAGATACACCTGCCGCGCAACCTCTCGTCGCAACCAGGAAGTGGAGGCCTGGATAAGACACATTGAAAATGTGGCGAAACCAGCAACAGACGCAACCTTCATCTCGGCTGCGCGAGCATCTTGCAAGGGACCGGCAGACCTTATCGTAAACTCCCCTATGTTCGATGGTATTCGTGAGTGGGCCATTTTCAACGCTGTTAAGGAGGAAATTTCGCGGCACTTGCTCCTCAACAGATTTCTTCACGATCCTGAACGAGTGCAGGATGACCACCACACAGGGACCACAAGATTTCTTTCAACAGCTAGAGGGATCGTTTACCAGGGAGTGCGGGATTATCCTGATGTTGTTGGGAATCCTGAGCCCCTTTTGAAGAGGCTCTTCCTGCAAGGACTTCCGCTCTGGCTCCGTGAATACCTTGCCATTATCGATGAGCTGCCTCTGGATCGACTGGTGGAAACGGCGCAGCGGATCTGGAATACTCGTACAGGTGTTGCAAGGACGGAGCCACTAGCCGATCGCCATCCTCCTCGACCTCTTCGAGCTGTAGCCCCTGTAGAAGAGCCGCCCGAACATCGCAGAACTCGCTGGTGCTCATACCATCGAACCTCGCGCCATGACAACACAGAGTGCCGCTATCGCCCGCGCGTCGTCTTGCCTGTTTTCGGTGCCAACAGGAGGGACACCTGGTGAAGGATTGCCCCTTTCCGCCACCCTCTGACGGAAGCGCCCCTGTCGCCGGAGGAACTAGGTGGGGCCAGCCCTTGCAATACCCGAGGTCCAGTGACACGGGAGCCATCGGCCGCAATTCCCTCAACCCCCACCTGCAGCCCACGTCAAGGACGACCGATGGTGAGGCTGATGATTTCAGGCAAGATGATTAACGCCTTCATCGATACGGGCTCGGAGGCAACGCTTTTGAAGCATAGTGCGCAGACTTTGATCGCCCCTTCACGAACTTCTGAACCTCGGAGGCGGCTTCAAGGTGCCTCGGAGCATCGCTTGCAATCACAGGTGAGCGTGATGTCATATTGCAGATTAATGATCAAAATATAGTTACTCATCGAGTCTGCATTGTTGATGGAGTTGATTTTCCAGGAGATATCTTAATTGGTATTGATCTCCTGAAGAGGCTTGACTTCCGCCTCGGCTATGATTCACGAACCAATAACTCGTACCTCCGCCTTAGAGGGAAGGCATTTACAGTAAGGTATGTGAACAAGGATTCACTGGAGCTCACAGCAGTCGTGATGAAGATGAAGGGTATGTCAGTGCCAGTGCCACCTGCAAGAGCTGCGATAAGACGTTCCGTGAGTTGCCCGCCAGAAGTGGAAGGTTTGCCTGTACGTGTTCCAGATGCATTAATTGGAAAACAATTGCTTGTTGAGGGACTTGGATATTCTGTGATCTTGCCACGCGAAGTTATTAAGCCCTCGTCTAAAGAAGCCGTGGTATGGGTTGTTAATCCGACACTCAATCCAGTCAAGCTGAGAAATGGAACGCACCTGGTCGAACTTCATGAGGTTGAGGAAATGTGTGACACACCTGAAGCACCTGGCAATGTTGCATCCATTGCAGACACTCCTGTGGCAGCCGTACCTACAAGTGCCTTGGAAAAGATTTCTCTCCAACATCTGTCTGATCACCGTAAGTCTCAGGTGTGTAAGGTTCTTGCCCAATACCCACGACTCTTTTCAGGTGATAAGTTTGCTATTGGGGAAGTTCCAGACATTGTACATGAGATCCCAACACAAGAGAAGCATCCTTTGTGTCAGCGTCAGTGGCGTCTTCCTGAAGCAGCTAAAAGCACATTCGTGAGGAGTGTGAACAAATGCTCAAGGCCGGAGTGATTGAACCTTCTTCGTCCCCGTGGCTGTCACCTGTAGTCCTTGTGAAGAAAAAGGATGGCACATTGAGGTTCTGTGTGGACTACAGGAACCTGAATTCTGTTACTATAGCTGACAGCTACCCACTACCCCGGATGGATGAACTTCTGGATGAACTAGGAGGAACTAGTGTATTCACTTTACTGGACTCTCGCTCCGCCTACTGGTCCATCCCGGTGAAGCCTGAAGATCGTCCAAAAACCGCATTTTCAGATGGACATCGGCTATACCAGTTCCGTCGCATGCCATTTGGATTATGTACAGCTCCATCTACATTCCAAAGGACAGTCAACCTTGTTTTGTCACCTGTTCTAGGTAAGCACACCATTGCATATTTGGATGATATAGTTGTGCAGTGCCACTTTTGAGGAACACATTAAACACCTAAGACTCTGCTACTGTTGATAAGGCAGGGTTTAAATTAAATCTGGAAAAATGTGATTTTGAGTAATTTCAGATTTCGGCTACCGCGTCACTCCACAGGGTTTCCTGCCAGACCCTGAGAAGGTGAAATCCATTGAAGAAATGCTGCCTCCTAAGAATCAGAAAGGGGTACGCAGATTCCTTGGTGCTGCTGGATTTTTTAGGAAATTTGTACCGAAATATGCAAAGATTGCAGCACCCCTCACCAGACTAACCAGAAAGGATGTGCGGTTTGTGTGGGGACCAGACCAAAGGGATGCTTTTATTAAACTGAAAGATCTTCTAATAACTGCTCCAGTTTTAGCCAAACCTGACTTTGAGAAAATTTTTGAATTGCATACAGATGCATCACAGGTAGCTATAGGTGCATGTCTTATGCAGACTGATGACCAAAATGAGCTTCATCCTATAGCCTACTTCAGCCGCAAACTACGTGGTGCAGAAACCAGGTATAGTGCCACCGACCTTGAAGCACTTGCAGTTGTGGAAAGCGTGAGGCATTTTGATGCTTACCTGTACGGACGACGCTTCACGGTGCTTACTGATCATCGTCCCCTCACGTATGTATTCTCTAGAAGAACTAAAAGTCCACGCATGAGCCGCTGGAGTGCAGAACTGGCAGACCATAACTTCCAGATTAAATATAAGCAGGGTCGAATCAATTATGTCCCTGATATGCTCTCACGTGATGTTGCACCCATATCCCTTTCTTCTCCAGATCCTTATGCAATGAGGGAGCAACTAAAGGACCCCTTGTTGCACGAAATTGTAATGTTCTTGGAAGAAAGAGCGGTGCCCCAGCAACGACCGCCATTGCCCCTGGACGAGTTTGAACTAAAAATGGAGTCCTGTATAGATTAAGGCATCTCCCAGAACGAATTGTCGAGCAGCTCGTTGTGCCAAGGACTCTACGTAAGGATGCGATAAAAATTGCTCATGCATCCCCTATTGCAGCACATCATGGCATTTACCGTACTTACAATAAGCTACGTGATTTGTTCTACTTCCCTAACATGCTGGGAGAGACTCGTAAGTACGTATCGTCCTGTAAAACTTGTCAGAAGAGGAAGGGCATAGGTAGGCGTGCCCCTTTGCAGCATGCACCTGAAGCTGTGCATCCCCATGGAGCGTGTCAGTGCTGATTTGGTGGACTTGCACAGCTCTTCGAGTGGGAATCGCTATGTCCTGGTAATGGTAGATCAGTTGACAAGGTACCTACAGCTCGTACCTTTACCCAACAAGGAAGCAGAGACAGTAGTAAGAGCATAATTGATCATTTCATTACTCTATTTGGTCCACCACGATTGCTTCAGACTGACGGCGGTCTTGAATTTAATAATGCCCTCTTTCGCAGTGTATGTGAGGACCTGACCGTTCAAACTCACGTTACAACCGCTTTCCATCCACAGGCAAACGGTCTTGTAGAAAGAACGAATCGGGTTGTAAAAGATGCTCTTGCAACATTGGTAGAAGACCAACCCCTAGACTGGATCGGTACATACCCCAGGTACGTTTTGCCATAAATTCTGCCATCCACAGGGCTATCGGAGATCAGCCCCTTTACTTGCTGACAGGCCAGCCAGGCCATTTCCCGGTTGGTTTGAGCAACCATGTTACAGCAGGAGAAGATGCTCATTGCAAGCTACGTGAGGCCTTGGATGTTGCGAGGAAAGCAGCGCAGGAAGCATCCCGTAAGGCTCGTCAGGAATACGCAGCATATCACAACCGTAACCTGAGGCCGCCCTGGTCCTTAGAAGCTGGGTCCCTGGTCCTCTACAAGATAAAGACTACGCAAACAGGACCTGATCGTGCTTTAGGGCCCCGGTGGCAAGCCCTGCGAAGGTCGTGAAGAAGTTGGGCCCTGTTAATTACGTCGTTCAGGACCTGTCTCCCCCGTTTTCGGAGCGTAACTGCCACGCTAACCAGCTGCGCCCATTTAAGCTGGAGGAAGAGCTGACGTTCCCAGATGCGTCACCATACCATGACCCTGATTACGTCGACCCATGGTTACCTGACGACGCGGAGCCAGGTGCAACGATGTTGCTTTCAGCAATACGTCCATCCCAACATGCACCTCAGTCGTGGTAAGACTGGGTATGGTAAGGTATCATCACTTCACCATCAGAAATTCACATTTATTACATCCTTCCCTGCAGACCACAGCAATACGTCTACTTCGTGTGGGCTCTCGAGCGAGACTGACGTTGCTCGCACGACGAACTCTGCTCGCCCATACCTGGAACTACCGGAGTGCCCAGGACCACCGCTTCTGTAGTTAGCTGGCCTGAGATCCCGCTTTATTTTGTAAAGTTATTTTTATGTTTTGTATTTGTAATTTTTATTTGTTTGTAATGCTTTTATTGTTTTAGAGGGAGCAGGCAGCGTTTCTTTTATTTAATTTTATTTCCTTTAGTTGTAAGCTTTCGTTTTAAGTATAGTTTTAAGTTTGGTTTTAGTTTAAGGCATTACTTTTAAGTCTTTAATTTTAAGTTTCATTTAGGTTAAGGGTTTTTCAAGTTTTAGTTTTTAAGGTTTAGGTTTATTTAGTTTTAAGGGTTATTTTAAGTTCCTTTCCTGGTTTTCGTTCTTAGCTTTTTTTTTTTTTTTTTTTAGGAGGTCGTGATCCCTCTCTCTGTATATTCCTGGGGTTTGCAATCATGTACTCGCCTGCCGTCTCTTGCAAAGGATGAATATACTAATCCTCTCTCCTTTCAGATCTGACTGATTTTTTATGGTGCTTTGACTCGCTAGTCTGTCGACAGTTCGAGTTCCCCTCGACCTGAGCGCCCAGCACAGCAGCAACCTCCCTTTGACGTCATGGCTGCCAGTCTGAGGTCGGCACACGCCCGGCGACCCGTAGGCCTGGCTAGGGAGGCCTTGTGACCTGGCTCTCCACCTGGCGGAGCCTCTCGCTCAGCTGTGCTGGCCGCTCGGTGGGCGAGGGAGGGTTGTAGTGGACGTGAGGTACCCCACTAAGCAGGAGTCCAGACTAGGCGAGTCCCCCCTTCTCTAGCCAGCACCAGCACCATCTGTGGGGATCGGCGGTAGCCAGCTGCAGTTTTGCGTCCCTGGAGCCTTTTTATTTTTCGTATTTTTATGTTCTATTTCTTTTATCTTTTTCTCACGGCCTCTAGTTTTATTTTAATTTCTTTTAATTATGTAAAGTAAACTTCTTTTATTTTCATTCATTTTTATTATTTACACATTTTTTAAGAGCCTATATAAAGAGCCTGTTTATGCTAGACTCTCTCTTGGGTTGTTGGCTCGCAGTTCAGTGCTGCTCACGGAGCGCCCGGCCTCACTGGACGTCTCCTGTTTTGTTGTTTGTTCTTCGATTTCCTACAAGAGAGAAAGATAAGTATATTCATGTTTTGTAAGAGGCCAGTTAGGATGTGTCATATGCATTGTAACTTTTGTGAATATACAGACTGAGGGGATCTCAGGTTTTCCTTTTTAAACTTTGGTTTTGTTCTATCCTTGGTTTGTTTATTTTACTTTTTATCTGGTTTTAAAAGGAGAATGGACACAGTTGATAATGAAGATAATGTAATGTTTTTATTTTACTCACGGGGTTAAAGGGCTTCAGGGTTGTGACGAACGGGTCATGCTGCAGTACACGCCAGCTACCACCCTTTTGAAAGCAGCTACCCTGTTCGTAAGTTGCACTCTGCAAGACCCATGTTGTAGTTTGAAAGTGACTCAGCTGGGAGGGGATAACACTACAGAATGAATGAGTGCGCGCACATGTGTGTATATCGCGCCGCGCATGTGCGTGCGCGCTATTAGTTGGAGTGTGATATAATGAGTAGAGGACCACTGGAAGCACGGCCAACAAGTTGTGACATGCGCGCGCGTGATCGCAGGGCTAGCCACAGCATTTAGTAGGCCGCATGGCGGCGTCGGTTAGGGATTTTTTCGTCATATTGTTTTACATTTTTTCATGCTGTTCATTAATCACTTATCCGATCTGAATGAAATAAACACAAAAGAAAGAGCAATGTCTGAGCTTCCTTTTGGTCTACATAAACGCACTTGCGCGCGAATATGTGCGCGCGCGCGCATGTCACAACTTGTTGGCCATGCTTCCAGTGGTCCTCTACCCTTCATATCACAATACACATATGTGCGTGCGCCCCTGTTTGTTAGAGTGTGAGGTGAAGCTTAGAGGACGGCTGAAGGCAGGCGAACACGTTCAAACTTGATCGCAGGGATTGCCACAGCATTTAGTAGGCCGCATGGCGGCGTCGGTTGGGGAGTTTTTCGTCATACTGTTTTACATTTTTTTATGTTGTTCATTAATCACTTATCCGATCTGAATGAAAAAAAAAGAAAAAAAAGAAAGAACAATGTCTGGGCTTCCTTTTGGTCTATAGGCACAAACTATAATAAGACGAAAAAATATAGAAAATGAACAAAATCTTTCTAAACATTTTCAAGGTCATTTATTTGTTTATTCATTTTTTTAAGCTTTGGTACCTACCACACTTCACAGTTTGTGTCCGATATCATGGATCTTTTCCCCCACGAAAGAACGTTTGAATGTGCAGAGAATAACGAATGGGATTTTGTAAAATATAATTTTTTTTTTTTTACGAAATTTTAAAACCCCGATTTTTTTTTTTTTTTTTTTTTTTTTTTTTTTTTTTTTTTTTTGCTGATTATATTACATGCGATAATTCGGAAACTAAACGGAATTTCCAAAATCGAATTCGTTGTTCTCTTTGTATGACCAAGAGGTTTTCTCAACAGGAAGCACATAGAAAACGGATGATAATTGTGAGACTTGGTAGGTACCGAAGTGACCTATCTATCAAAAATCGATTTTTAATAGCGCTTATATTCCCTCCGGCCAAAAAAAAAAAAAAAAAAAAATGGTCAAAAGATGGGCAATGAAGTACTCTTTCATCCTACCAAAATCCATGAAAATCTGTATGACCGTTTTCTATTTTTAAACAAAAATCGAAAATTGGCGATTTTCAGGGACGGTCCGGTCCCTTAAGCACTCGTTTTATTTCTTCTGTTGTGATGTTATGTATCGCGTTTGCTCCTACCGCGGCTGTTATTTTGAGTTGCATAGATCCCACTTATGATTTCATTCTTGTTATAAGTCACTTCTTCGTCTGGTTTCTTTATTGCATACATTTGGTTTCTATTTTGGCATTAAAATCTCCCATAATTATTGTGAAATGGGTTTTTACTCTCTCGCTGGCTATATAAACATCTTCAAAGAAGCTCTCTGTTTCTTCATCACTGTGCTGCAAACTGGAGCATAGACTTGAACAATCTTGAATTTGTAGCTATTGTTTAGTTTTATTGTTACTGAAGCAACTCTTTCGCTTACACAGTAGAATTCCACGATGCTCTTTTCTAAGCGTTTGTGAACTAAGAAATCTGTTATTCCTGTTTGCTACCCTGTTTTGCTACCCTGTCCTACAACATCCCAACTAATGCTGGTCAGCCGGATTCAGTTCTCAGTTCGCACGGGCCTTCACACTACACTAGGGTATACTTCCGTGAGCATGGGCTTGAGTATCAGAGGTGCATATGCGATTATATTTCATACATTGATTTCATTTATGCGTATATACCTAATGCAGACATTGTTGTTCATCCTCACAAAACTTTTGTGTATATGTACATGCAAGCATATTTACACATGTTCCGATGCATATGGATATGCATACATACTCCTACGTTATACACAGCAATACACATGCCCCTGCATACACATACATGTACCTCCATGCGCATACATATGTCTATACGCACCTACATATAAGCGAATCTTTACATATCTTCTACAAGTAAATGTGAATATACACACACACACACATATATACACATTCATACATACACACATACACACACACACACACACACACACACATACACACACACACACACACACACACACACACACACACACACACACACACACACACACACACACACACACACATACATATATATATAATATATATATATATATATATATATATATATATATATATATATATATATATATATATATATATATATATATATATATAATATATATATATATATATATATATATATATATATATATATATATATATATATATATTATATATATATATATATAATATATATATATATATATATATATATATATATATATATATATATATATATATATATATATATATATATATATATATATATATATATATATATAGACATATGCTTACGAACACGAGTATGCGCCCATATGTTTGAGAATACATTAGTGTCCTCTCCACATACGTATATATACACCTCTACATATAGCTGCACTTATGTGCATGCATGCACATATATATTATACATATACATACACATATACATGCATACATATACGTTTATATACATATACATATACATATATGTATATATATGCATACATACACATGCACATATGCACAGACACACATATACACACACATTACATATACATATATATACACAAACATACGCATACATATATACATATATATATACTCACACATTCACATACATATACTTGAATTACGCTTCGTTAATACATGGTTTACTGGCGGATCATCTGTCTAATGGCTAATTATACTTGTCCCTTTATGGGAACCATTTTTTAAACCTACTTCATTTTGTGATATAATGTACTTACATACTGGCGGTTCGGCTGATCCTTAGCAAAAATACTTAGGGGGGGGGGGTTGTAATACTGTAGCAATTATGTCTCGTAAGAGTGGAAAAGTAGCCACTGCCATTTATTTAATTCACGTATGGGAACGTAGTGTATATGTGAGAAGAATGATAGTGTGGAAGACGGATGTGGGGAAAGGAGCGAGA